GTGTAAAGTTTTGATATAAATTTTTGTGGCATAAAAGTTGCTAACATTATGAATCTGTTGCCAAAATAGCTACAAAATGGTTCCTTTGCAAATGTTTTGGGGAAAGGTAACATAATACAGTGCGTGCACGCTACAAAATAATGCTGGCATATAGGTATGATGTTTTTCCAAGCATATAAATATTGAATGATAGTCAAAACAAGTACTCCCTGTGGAGTCCAAACATTTGTTGTATTGCAATATTCCCCTCCAAAGGTTAAAAAAATCTACATTACATATTTTTAAATCATTATTTTTTAGGCCCTGAAGTCTCAGCTACAGTTTACCCACTCAAATTGACCCTTGATGACAAATTATACATATACTTTATTTATAAATGACATTTTCTGTCTTACCACCAGAATCCAGTGATGGCTCTTATTAATTATCCCCATGACAACATCATATGTCATGAGATCCATCTCAAAATATATGAATTATTTCTTTTTTATCTTGTCTGAATAAATAATTGTGAACTTTCAATAAGGTTCTACTTACTACCTGTAGTCTGGGTGGTTTCTGATTCCATATTGCTGACATTAGAAAGGAGTGTATGACAGCTGCTGTGTTCCCCTTTACAGCACTATGCCGCCGTACAAGCACTGTCAGGTAAGCATTGATGACCTGTGAATGAAAAATGCAGAATTAAGTTTTCTTGTGATCAAAAGGTTTTATTTGTTTGAACAGACTGTGCTTACATTGCTGTTGGACTGAAGAGGAGTCATCACATGACTTTGATGCAGAATAAATTGAAATAATATTGAATTGTCATTGAAGAAAAAATACTGTTGTTCATGTCGCAACATTTAATGATTACGGAAAATTACAATCTCTATCTTAATAAAAATAGAATACCTCACTCTACAGTTCCATTTCAGGAGCAATCCTCCCAGTAATACAGTTTGTAGGGTCCAACTTTACAAAGGATAACATGAACATCCTTTCCCACCCAAGCATCCTGTAGATCTGTGTATAGTATTAGATAACAGATTTTAGAATCAATTCATTTTGTAATATTAGTTTTAGGTTTAAAATAAAGCAGTATTTACCATTTTTAAATCCTATGACAATCCTGTTCCTGATTTTTTTAATGACAGTTGTTTAATACATTGATTTTAAAAACTGACACAAACATTTGTTTTAAGGATAAGAGCGGCCAATTTCTATACTAACAGTATTGTCAGCACTCCCCATAAGGAGACTTAAACCAGCAGTCAATAGTCACA